TCCGAATAGTTCGGCATGTCGGTCGTCGTTGTCGAAGAGTCTGAAAAAGTCACGCAGCGGCCATTCGTCTCCCGCAACGGGTGCCGCAGCCCTTGCGCAATCCAATACTCGCACGAGCTCGTATCCAAAATTACGAATCCACCATTCTGGCTGCCAGAGTTCCGCACGTAGTTTCTGCAGTAGTCCGCGCACTACCACTACTTGGCCACGGCTCCACAGGCGCGAAAACTCACGCGTGCTGAGCTCATCCGCTTCAACATATGCCACTGGTAGTTCCCATGGCGCACGCACGTGTGCATGGCGAGTGCGCTGCGTAATACGCAGCATACGCGCACTAAATACGCTCAGCTCAGCATCGCCTACTGCACCAGCGCAATCGAGCCAGGATGCGCCAGCCTCGCAGAGTCTACGGCCGAGTTGTACCACATGCTGCACTTTCTTCTGCACACGCTGCACGTCCTCGAATTCGAAGGCCGACGCCCTCACAAACTGCCGCCGAACATGTGTGGCACTGGGACGTAGGCCGTCTACTGTGCGTCCCAAGCGACGACATGCTGCAATACGTGGCACTGGCTGCGTACCATCGTGCACGCGTCCACGGGCAATTAGTTCTGTGTCGTCCCACTCTGCAAAGCACTGCAGACATACTTCCAACGCACACATCGAGCATGTGTAGTGCGCTGCCAGAATTGAGGTCGCGCACATGTCGCACAGCTGTCGCGTCCCCGGCGATACGCGACGGATGACCGGCGGCGCGGCAGAACATCCCAGTTGCGCATGCAGAGGGTACTCCACTGCGCCATCCGCCCACGAAACCGGGTGCTCCGCCAGTGCTGCGGCTGCCGCATCCAACGACGGCACGAGCGCCCCTGCCGCAGAGTACAGGCGGTAGAACTCTGCCCACCGGCGCGCATCCTCTCCTTTATCTTCGCCGCCCAAACACACCGGCAGCTTCAGCGCCTCCACCTGCAGCACATGGGACTTTGCGCTTGGGCGTTCGGAAGCAACCATTGCCAGTTTGAAAAAGCGCGTCACCTGCTCGCCACTGCCCAACACCGCCGTCAGTCTGGTAACCACCCGTACTCCGCGGAAGGCACAGTAGCAATTGGTCTGGCGCAGCACGCAACCACGGCACATAAAGCTACCAAATGTCTCATCGGCATTGCACCGCTTAGCCTGGCGTTCATTGGCTATGGTAACCGAGCGACAAGCAGCAGCTTCTTTCAACCACGCCACGTACTTCTTCTGCAGCAGCTCCAGCCACCGCTCGGGATCCACAGGCGCCGGGAATCCATCCACAGCATACTCGTACAGGGGCAGCACCTGGCGGCGTACTTTGTGGTCACCCTGCACAACGCGGAGGTCTGTTATGGCATGCGATGGCTCCAGGGAAGCTGTCGGGAAGACCAGCGGCACAAAATCACGCGTTCTCAGAAGCTGCTCCACTTCAGGTCGGTTATCAGTGCGTTTGACGCGCACGTATTCTCCAGTAGCGTCCATTGCTGGTATAAGCAAAGGTTGCTCTGGGCGCGCGCGCTTACGAGGAGTTTGCTTGCGCGGCACTACCTCTTCTTCGATGACTGGTATGGCTTCGCTGGGTGAATAATCTACCACTGCTGCGCTCGCCCGTGTGCTGCGACGGCGGCGGCTCTGGCGCGCAATTTCCTCTGCCCACGTCTGTCGCACTTGCGTCAGCTGTGCCATCGACACCAAAGGCTTTCCCGTAGCGAAACGCGCTGTAGTGACAGCACTCAGCGCATCCAACTGCACCAGGCGCTCATCCGCTGTATCCGACGCTGTAGCAGCAGCATGGGCTATTCTTGCCATCTGTACAACACGAGTCTTCTGCGCATTATCCAGTTCACTGCCTGACTCTGTTGGCTCCACCCATCCCATGAACCTTGGAAACTGGGCAACTATCTGCGACAACTCTGAACATTCTCTATCCGAAGCAGTAGTAAGGGCTTCATTGTTTTGATCTTGGAGCGTCCAATGATGCGGTGGATTCTCGCCGTGTCGCACTAGCTGCTGTCCAAGACGCCTGTCGACTATCTGTTGCACGCGTTCAACGGATATTGCACATAAACGCGACAATTCTAATACTTCCGCTTCTGGTACTGTATCCATCCGTCGGTCTAATGCCCATGCCACTACTGCATCCTCTGTCCACAAAGGAACTACTGACTGCTGTGGTACTGTCATAGCTTTCTTAGTACTTTTTTTAATACAGATGCTGAAAAGAATTTAAAAAGAATTGCATGTGTTCTGATAAAAAAAACACTTGCTTCGTATGTACTTGTAGTGTTTATCGAGAGAAAAAAAAAAAAAAGAGAAAAGTAGTTAGTCAAGAGCAAGAAAAAAAAACGATTGCCGAACAACACGTTCCGAAGAAAAAAAGATAACAGTTCTCTGAAGACACGAAAAAATAGTGGCCTGATGTTATGACGCGCTGATTAACAGGATTAACAGAGAAAAATGGTCCGACTCTACTGAAAATCTTATGGAGCAAACGAACATGCTTCAATAGCCATTAGCAACTGTATCAGATTAGGAAGCAGCGCACGACGGTCAACGTCACCAATGCCAAAGAGCCACAAGAGCTGCTCTACATCCACAGCCAGCAACTTTTGGGCCATTCGTTGTCTGGGGCGATCTGAGGCCCTAGCAACAAAGAGCGGCCACTCAACAGCACCCGCCGGCGCAACCACCGCCGACCGCGCAGCGCGAGCAATCGGCGGAAACCTCAGAGCAACTCCCAATCCACGAGCAACATACTCCACAATCCACGCGACAATTCCCAGTGCCGCCGCAGATTCCTCTGAAACCTGATTCCCACCACCACGTCCCACTCGCAGTCCACAAACAGTCCACGCATCGCCACGCAGTTCCACCGGAAACGCCTGCTGGATATCCGCCGCCACGCGCCCACGCTGCCGCGCCAGCATTGCCCGCAAATCTTCCACTATAATGCGCTCCTGTCGTAATCCCGGCGCAGTACGGGAGATCCGTCGCCGGCGCTGGTCTGCTGTGTCTGAAGCTGCTGCCCCCGCCTCTGATGCCTCCGCTACTCTCCGTCCCAAGTACTCAGCTACTCCTGCTGCCTCCTCCATTGCCCGTGCACGCCGCTCTACTCGCCCATGTAGTGCCTCTGTCAGTTGTCGTCGCCGAACAAGTGCTACTGCCGAACGCTGCTGCTCTGCACGTTGCTCCGCTGCCTTCTGTAAGGTACTTAGCTCCTGTCGTCGTTGAGTAACTGCTGCTTCACAGGCACACAGTCGCCGCAATTGTGTCCACGAGTATGCACGTACGCTACCGCTGACCTCCTATACCAGGCTGTATTAAATGGAACAAACGTAGATTGAGCAAAATACCACGCTTCGCCTTACTTCACAAAAAGGACCTCCAGTATAGAAAGCATTCAGTCTAAACAAATCACTTGCCATGCTCTTAGCCTGCTCCGCCATGCTTCTCTCTAAAAACAGTGTATAAAACGGGCCCTTTCAAAAAAGAAGAAGAAATTGAAGCTCCACTAAAAAACAAAGAGAGTGGTGATATTTTTATTCAAAATTCTCTTACAGCCAAGAAAAAAGGCTATTACTCTGTAATAGTCACTCGAGCTTGGCCAGCACTGTTATTTGCCTGCTGCTGAGCAACCTCACGAGCATTGCGTACCACAGGCAGTAGGTTATCCAAGGCAACCCGCCATTCGTCCAGACGCTGCGCCAGATGCTGCCACTGGGGGAGCCCAAAGCGACGGAAAGTAGAGCGAGAAGGAACCAGCGTACGGGATCCCTGATGCATTTTACCTTGTACCAGTCCTGAGCGCACCACATCAATTACCCACAGCTCCACGTCCTCCTCTTCCACTGCAATGGCTTCGGCAATCTCCGCATACGGAATAGCCTGTCCGACACGCTCCGCCGCCAAAGAAGCCAGTGCCAGGAGGCGCATCTTATCGCCAGCCTTCTCGCAATCCACGCCCAGCGCTACCAAAGCATCCTTGTTCTCCATAGCATACGTCTGCCACTGCGCGTAGTTGCTACCCAGCATGGTCTCCAGTAGTCCACCCGCTGCTGCCAGCTTCTGCTGCTGTCCGAGCGTCTGCACAGTAGGCAGCCCCGCCAACGCATCCACATCGCATACGCCGCTCAAGTTGGCAAACCGCACAATAGCAGATCTCGCCACCTCTGCACTCTGCTCGACATCCTCGGCATCTGCCACGCCGAGGTACGCCAGCTCAACCGCATACGCCTCGTTACTCAGCTGCGCTCCGTCGAATGTCTTGCGCAGCGCAAGCAGCGCCGCCAGTCCCTGCGCCTTTGCCTCCGCCCCCCATTCGCCTACCATAGCTGCCACCCGCGGAACCACCGGCACCAGTGCTGCAGCCGTCTGCGTACGACCTGCGAGCTCCGCCATGCCTCCAAACACCGCCGCCCGTGCGCTTCCGCTCTTCGCCACATTATACAGGCTATTGAGTACTCGCAGTCCCGCTACTCCGCTCTCCGCATGCTCCGCAACATCCCGGGCCACTGCCTCTGCAATGCTGTCCACTCCGCCAGACTTCTCCTCCAACGCTGCTATGGCAAATAACTGATTGTAAGCGGCCTCAATACGCTCGTCTGAAAGCCGTGCCAGTACTCCGTTGCTGCCTTCTGACACTACTGCGGACACCACGTCGCTGCGTCCTGATAGCTCCTGCACGTATTCCTCCACATTGTTCACTCCCTTCGATTCGCCTAGCACGCGAGCGAGCTCTTCCACTTGCGTCGCTACAGCTCCATCTACAAAAAATACCTCTGTGCCGCTCATCTCTGAATCCTAATATCTCTTTCAAAAAAGGTGCCGGCCAAAACGATGAAATGAACAAGAAAAGCTAATCGACGCCTGTCGAATCTCTCAATTCCACAGCTCAAAAACAACCGCTTAAAAAATTTTCATCAACTCCCAGCCTCTTATTCCAACCACGTGATCAACAAAAAGCTCGACAAAAATTGCTTGTAAGCCCCGTCCGGGGATCGAACCCGGGCCGTCGCCTTAGGAGGGCAACGCTCTTCCACTAAGCCAACAGGGCCATAAAGCAAGATGCTACCACACCTTTGTTCGGATTCATTTTTACAAAATCTATTAGAATAATGGGTCTAGCTTTTAGCAAAAAAGCGATAGCGAACAAGGTTGTATCCAGTACCTGTTGTGTTGCCAGGATACGCATACCAGTGTAAAATTATTGCAAAGATTTAGTTTTCTGTACTTTAGAGTTTGCTATATATGCTATCTGTACTCTAAACACAACACTTATTACAAGCTCCTTCATAGAGGCATTATCTAATTGCTAATTTAGCGCAACGCCCAATACACACACTTCAACATGTTGGTCAACAAGTTGCTGGAGACTGGTGACTGAATAACACCGCTTGTCTTTTTTAAGCCTATGCTGAAAGTAATTGCATCTGTTTGTTAAGAATGTGCTTGTGTATCAGCCCTGCATGTAATAGCGTGCGTTTATTATCAATTGATATCTATCTGCGTGTTTCCCGACTGTTTCAAGTATATTGATAGATATTAAGTTATAGTGACGCACTTTACAGAGCTACATCTTAGAAAATCTCAACGAGTATAAAAGGCAGCATTATCTTAAAAATAATGATAATGGGAAAAAAAGTTTTGCTACTTTGCTTCTAATGTTTTCAGTCCTCATCGCTCTACTTACACTTTTATTGTTTGTTTGACTATGGCTAATGTAGGAAATCTCGCTGCTGTGCACACAGCAGCGCAGCTTTTCCTGCATTCTTTCTCCTCATCACTCAAGTTCCCA